GCGCGCGCGCGCGCGCGCGCGCGCGCGCGCGCGCGCGCGCGCGCGCGCGCGCGCGCGCGCGCGCGCGCGCGCGCGCGCGCGCGCGCGCGCGCGCGCGCGCGCGCGCGCGCGCGCGCGCGCGCGCGCGCGCGCGCGCGCGCGCGCGCGCGCGCGCGCGCGCGCGCGCGCGCGCGCGCGCGCGCGCGCGCGCGCGCGCGCGCGCGCGCGCGCGCGCGCGCGCGCGCGCGCGCGCGCGCGCGCGCGCGCGCGCGCGCGCGCGCGCGCGCGCGCGCGCGCGCGCGCGCGCGCGCGCGCGCGCGCGCGCGCGCGCGCGCGCGCGCGCGCGCGCGCGCGCGCGCGCGCGCGCGCGCGCGCGCGCGCGCGCGCGCGCGCGCGCGCGCGCGCGCGCGCGCGCGCGCGCGCGCGCGCGCGCGCGCGCGCGCGCGCGCGCGCGCGCGCGCGCGCGCGCGCGCGCGCGCGCGCGCGCGCGCGCGCGCGCGCGCGCGCGCGCGCGCGCGCGCGCGCGCGCGCGCGCGCGCGCGCGCGCGCGCGCGCGCGCGCGCGCGCGCGCGCGCGCGCGCGCGCGCGCGCGCGCGCGCGCGCGCGCGCGCGCGCGCGCGCGCGCGCGCGCGCGCGCGCGCGCGCGCGCGCGCGCGCGCGCGCGCGCGCGCGCGCGCGCGCGCGCGCGCGCGCGCGCGCGCGCGCGCGCGCGCGCGCGCGCGCGCGCGCGCGCGCGCGCGCGCGCGCGCGCGCGCGCGCGCGCGCGCGCGCGCGCGCGCGCGCGCGCGCGCGCGCGCGCGCGCGCGCGCGCGCGCGCGCGCGCGCGCGCGCGCGCGCGCGCGCGCGCGCGCGCGCGCGCGCGCGCGCGCGCGCGCGCGCGCGCGCGCGCGCGCGCGCGCGCGCGCGCGCGCGCGCGCGCGCGCGCGCGCGCGCGCGCGCGCGCGCGCGCGCGCGCGCGCGCGCGCGCGCGCGCGCGCGCGCGCGCGCGCGCGCGCGCGCGCGCGCGCGCGCGCGCGCGCGCGCGCGTTACAGAAAAGATAAAGATCCCACGATTCGTCACTCCCGTAGTATTTAATGACTGTAAATTCTCTCTGTTGTGTATGTGTATATATATATACACGACAGAGACTATTTGGAGTCATTAAATACTACGGGACACACACATATAAACTAGAGGTATAAATTTGACCGTACAACCTTCACGCGATACACCTTGGGTAATGCTAATGCCGACGGTACTGTAACTTTTTGTAAACTTCATAATTCGAAAAATACTTAACGAAAAAATACTCATTATAGTGTTTTAAAAAGCTTTCGAAGTAAATTACAAAAATATGCAATGAAAAATGGGGGTTTCCATTTAAAAAATTGAAGGTGACCTTCACGTGATCTTCAAACTACTACGCAAGGTCAAACCAATGGCATTATTCTATGTACTCCTTGAAACCATACAAAACTTTTCGTTCGAAATATTTTTTTCTAAAATCCTATAGTATCCAGATATTTTATTGTCAAGAATAAAATGGAACACCCTGTATATGTATATACAGGGATCATTATTCTCAAACTTCGTGAGAAGATCCATAGAATGGATTAAGGTGGACATTAAAGTCTCATACTGTTTTGCGATATTTGTAATAAATCTCGAGATATTAATTAAAGAAGATCAGTGAATGATCATGCGCGATATGGTAGATAAACTGTCGTGGCGTCGTCTATTACTATATACATTGGGTACTAATTATACATTGGGTCAAACTGAACAAAAAAGTTTTCTACTATTTTGTAAATGACCACATAGATTTTTACATATTAATTAAAGAAAATTTGTGCATTATTGCGCACAATCATGTAACAATCATGTAATTTTCTTTCATGGATAATTAAAAATCTACGTTATTTGCAAAATGATAAAGGGTTTTTTTATTTAATTTGACATAATGTACAAGTATACAACAGCACACATCGCTCATCTATCATCACCAATTCACCAATCTTTAATTAATATCTCGTGATTTGTTGCGAATATCGCAAAACAGTATGTAGGACTTTTATGTTCACTTCAATCCGTTCTACGTTCCCACAAAATTGCGGAGAAAAGAGTCTAGGACATCCTGTATATATAAATTCTTAGGTATCTTATATAATTCGAAGTGTTAACCCGAAAAAGAAAATCGCATATGAATTCTGTCCTTATATGGCCATATTCAGTCATGCAAAATATATCTATAACGAGAAAAAATAGTTATACAAATATAATTAAAGTAAATGATTATGTTTTTAACAGTACATGATATCGATGTTTAATTAAATTAAATAATTTCTTCTTTTTTTATTTAACATCATTTTTTCCGTGTGGACAAATACGATTATATATGTCGGAACAGTTTGCCAATTTCGGCCGATTCTAGGGACCTACGCCTTCTATCTCCCCTTGCCGTGCGGCGGGCCAAGAAAGTGACGGTCGTGTCTCTAAGTTTGGAGCCACGACTGGTCGCGACCGTCGTCATGGGATAACATATGGAGTCCGATTGACTCTAAAGGATTATATGAAGGTCACAATGCTTCGTCGGGGCCACAAAGAAGCACACGTGTGAAATCCCATTAATAAATTTCTTTAATAATCATAGCATTGTGATCTTCATATGATCCTTTAGAGTCAATCGGATTCTACATGTTATCTCATGATTTTAAATTATTTTTGTTTTTACTGTAAAATTTGAAGAAATAAAAATATTAGGAAATACTCCAATATTAGGAAATACTATTACAGCCTCCAATCGCCTTGACCTTGACAAATGCTGTCAAGGTCATGGTTCTGAACAACATTCAAAAGGTTTCAGCTGTCGATCGAACACCTTGGGTACCAATGCTAATGGCAACAATATTGTAACTTTGAAGCCTTTTACTCGAAAGATACTTAATGAAAAAATATTTTATTATAGTATTTTGGAAAGCTCTCGAGGTAAGCTACAAGAATATGCCACGAAAAATGGAGGTTCCCATTTAAGAAATTGAAGGTGACCTTTACGTGACTTTCAAACAACTATCAAGAGTCAAGCCAATTGCACCATCTTATGTCCCTCTCCGAAACTTATACCACTTTTTTTAAAATTAGGCAAAATGTTGCTAATATATGAGTGTTCTACAAGATATACATATATGCTAAATATAAAAAAAGTATATATTTTCAAAGGGTTGTTTCACTTAAACCTTGATAAAAGCATATATAAATAAATATATGTCTAATATTTTGTTGCTCTATAATATATATCCAAAGCCTATCAAAGTCGGTGAGCGATAGTTCCCACGCGTCGGTTCTTTTATAAATATTGAACCTTTTTTTAAAAATATTTTTCTTTTATCTTTATTTTATCTTTCATATTTTTCGAAATATTTGCCTGGTTTGATTAAAATGACTCACCCTGTGTGTGTGTGCGTGTGCGTGTGTGTGTGTGCGCGTGTGTCCTACCTAACTTGACCATTTTAAATATCTTGCTTATGTTTTATGATACAAGGATGCCAAAAGGGAACATTATTCAGTTCGAGAAGACAAATACTGTAAAAAACAAGAAATTTTTCTTGTTCTTCTATTTTTTCTTCTATGATATCGCGATGATAAAAAATGTAGTTTCATATAAAGAAAATGACAATGACTTTGAAATCTTAAAAAATATGACTTTGAGAAAAATTTCTTGTTTTTTTACAGTATTTGTCTCCTCGAACTAAATAATGTTCCCCTGTGGCATCCTCCTATCATAAGTGAGATATTTAAGATGATCAAATTAGATAGGTCCTGTATATGTGTTTATATATATTTATATATATATATATATATATATATATATATA